ATGAAACCCTGGTGGTGTAGTGGTTAAGTGCTATGGCTGCTAACCAAAAGGTCGGCAGTTTGAATAGTGGTTAAGTGCTATCTATGGTCGCTAACCAAAAGGTCAGCAGTTTGAATCCACCAGCCACTCCGTGGAAGCCCTATGGGGCAGTTCTACTCTGTCCTACAGGGTCACTATGAGTCGGAATCAACTCGGTGGCAACGGGTTATATATATATAAATCATATGATATAAGATGATTTCTTCAGTCGAGTTTTTAAAACTAGCAAGCAAGATGTGTTTCCTGCTTAAAATCCCTTAGTGGCTTCTCACTGCCTTGAAGATAAGTACAAATTCCTTAAAATGGTTTAGGAAGTTCGTCATACTCTGGCTCCAGCTTACCTCCAGTCTCACGGCTCTCTACAGCACACTAAAAAAAACCCAAACCTGTTTCGGTTAAGTCGATTCCAACTCATAGCGACCCTATAGGACAGGGTAGAACTGCCCCATAGGGTTTCCAAGGAACGGCTGGTGGATTTGAACTGCTGCTAACCTTTTGGTTAGCAGCTGAGCTCTTAAACCACTGCACCACTCTATCCCCCACCAATACTAAACTACTTATTTTCTGTTCCCAGAAAAAATCCAGTCTCATCTCTGAGCTTCTGTACACGCTCTCTCTTCCCTGGCCAACTCTACCTGTGCTTCATGTCTCAGCCATCACTTCCTTCAGCAAGCCTTTCCTGCCTCTCAAATACAAACTATTGTTGTTAGTTGCCATGGAGTCGATTCCGACTCATGGTGACCCCATGTGTGCAGAGTGCAACTACTCCATAGAGTTTTCAAGGCTGTGACCTTTCAGAAGCACATCACCAGGCCTGTCTTCTGAGGTGCCTCTGGGTGGGTCTGAGCTGCCAACCTTTTGTGATTAGGTGTCCCTTTTATGTGCTCATATGACAGCACCTCTCTTATGATATTTATCACACTGTTAAATGGCTGGTTTCCCTTTTCCCCACAGTTCTTGGGGACTGGCACTGTGGTTCTCGTTGCCTGGGGGACACTGCTCGTTTCCTCTCTTAGATCCATTTCTGCTTCCTTACACAACAGAATCTGGGTTTTGTTTAGGGTGGCAGTGAGCCCAGTCTCCCTTGTAGCCGCAGGTAACCATGAGATTGTCATGGATTGAATTATGTCCTCCAAAAAATATGTGTACCAGTTTGGCTGGACCATGATTCCCGGTATTATGTGATTTTCCTATATGTTGTAAATCCTGCCTCTGTGATGTTAATGAGGGAGGATGGGCGGCAGTTGTGTTAGTGAGGTAGGACTCAATCTACAAGATTGGATTGCGTCCTGAGGCAATCTCTTGAGATATAAAAGACAGAAGTGAGCAGAGAGAAGGGGGGGACTTCATACCATCAAGAAAGAGTGCATCCTTTGGACCGGGGTCCCTGCACAGAGAAGCTCCTAGTCTGGGGGAACATTGATGAGAAGGCCGACAGAGAGAAAGCCTTCCCCTGAAGCTGACAGCCCGAATTTGGACTGTTAGCCTACTTGACTGTGAAGAAATCAATTTCTCTTTGTTAAAGCCATCCACTTGTGGTGTTTCTGATGTAGCAACACTGGATGACTAAGACAGTGATGTCAGCAGAAGCATATCTGTGAAACTTTTACTTTCCTGGTAAAGACCGCTGCCCCTTCCTCCTTATTGCCTCCTCCTCCTCCTTTTTACCTGGGGTGTGGTTGAGGAGGCTGGAAGTGCCTAGGATGGGAACTAATTATTTGCCTACCAGGTGACAAACATGAAGATAAAAAAAAAAAAACATGAAGATAAAAGCCACATGTTAAGGTTGGCCCAACAGAAAGGTAGAAGGAGACTGGATCCCTGGTGGCGTTGTGGAGCTGCCCTTCCAGCCCTGGGCTACCTGCCTCCAGACAAGTTACTGTGTGAGGCCAAGGGTTTTAAACCATTCATTCAGGATGTTAACTGTAGTGGTTCACCTATTTGGTTAAGCCTCTATAGTTGGGATTCTGTTACATGTAACTGAATGCAACCCATAAGTGATAAGGTGGTCAAATATTTGTTCAATAAATAAAAAGTGTAATAATAATAATAGCTCATTTGCTGAGTGCTTATTATGGATTAGGCATCATTGTAAGTACTTTGCATGATTGCCCCATTTGGGAGAAGAATCTTGGAAGACTCTGGTACGGAAAGGCTGGAGAAGACCAGGCCCCACTGTAAAAATGGCGTGGCAGTGGCGTCTGACCTCCTTTAACTTCACATGGAGGAAAAAAAAAAAAACCAAACCCATTGCCATCCAGTTGATTCTGACTCATAGCAAATCTATAGGACAGAGTAGAACTGCCACATAGAGTTTTCTCAGGAGTGCTGGTAGATTTGAACTTCTGACCTTTTGGTTAGCAGCCATAGCACCTAACCGCTGCGCCACCAGGGTTTCCACAAGGAGGGAAGAGAATCATTATTAGCATCAACCGGCCAAGGCTGATTCCTAGGCAGAGGTCTGACATGCCACCTCTCACCAATCTTTTTACCAATTCTGTCACCAACTGTCCTTCTCATGACACTCTCTACTTCTCTTCTGGGTTCAGTAATTCATTGCAGTGGCCACACAGAACTCAGAGATAGTACTCAGGACTGTGGGGTTTATTAGGGAAGTAATAGGTTACAATTCAGGTTCAGGAATGCTCAGGATACAGTTCTTCCATCAGGACAACCTCTTCTCAGCCATGCCCACAGGCGCACCTCTCTCTTGCTGCTTGGCCTCTGTCCTGCTCCGGCAAGTGTAACAAACCTCTTTTAGCTCTGCCAATAAGTGCCCAAAGGCATCCTACTCCATCAGCAAGCCTCCTGCCTGAAGGCGCTCAGCTCTTAACCACTGCGCCACCAGGGCTACGTACAATGTCTAAAATTCTCTTGAACCAAAAGAACCTATCTAGAACATTCCCAGTAAGTCAGGTGGCCAAACAATACCTCCCTGTTTAATCCATTGACAATAGAACTTTCTTTTCCCTCATCTGACACTTTCTCATATTCTTTTAGAGAACCAGGGATGTGCCTGGATAGCTTTTTGGGAGAAACTCTCCACCGTGTCTGGATTCAAGTTCCATCAAGAGCAGCCTCAGGAGCCTCTAGGGCCCAGGGTGAGTCTTTGGCCTTCTCGCAGCTGAGAAACCAGGCAGAAAATGATCAATTCAGTCCCTCAGGTAGGTGAGGCAATCTGTTTCCCAAGAGAGAACAGAGCAGGCATTAACTACAAACCCTTGACAAAATCATACCCTCTGAATCTTCACTGGGCCCAATATCAGTCAGTTAAAAACATAATCTGTGGCAGAGAATTCTGAGAGTGTCTGACAGACAGCTAGGGTGAGACCTGCGACACCTGCAAGGAATGAGTAGATTCTTTCAGTCTCTTTCTTTGGGGTCAGGCAAAATCATTTTTACCAGAGAGTACAAATTCTTGCTGACAGATTCCGCCTCAAATCTGGTGGAGAAAGTTGTTACCGAACCCAGGAAGGGGAGTCCTTGTCTGGTGCGCTCAGACTTGCCAATTATCTGTACACTAGTCTTTGAGAAAGAAAGTAACTTTATTGAAATACGCAGAGCAAGAAGCCGGAGGAAGTTCCTCAGATCCGACTCCCTGAGCTACAGGGAAGCAGGACTTATATGTGATTTGGGTAGCAAGATTGTGGCTGCGCAGGCAGAATGGGGAGGGAAAATTCTAGAAGGTGGCCAGGAAACAGGAGGTCACGTGGTTCTTGTTGTCCCTCTCACTTTGGAATAGGGTCCGGGTGATGATTTTCCTTCTGATTCGTTCCTCCTGTTGCTGCGTCCTTTGTTGAGGTCAATTAACAGTCACAGCTGGCCCTTCTGCCCATGTCGGGTGGGCCAAATCTGGCATGGGCTAGTTTAAGGACTAATGGAAATTTACTGGCATTTGTAGGGTCAGGTTACAAAATGTTTCAGAAATTTAACTTTTTCTTTAGTTGCAATGTGATTTTTCTAAAGGGAGACAGCCTCTTTTTGGTGGTGGTGGTGGTGGGGGCTTGATCCTTTATTTTGATAAGCCTTAACTGGCCAACCTGCTTTCGAATGCCCTTTCTCAATAGGTTATCCCACGGAGCTCTATGTCATTTTTATTACTCTAGTAATCCCAAATAATTCTTGGATGTAAAAGAAGGAGAAAAGGGCGATAGTATAAAATCACCAGCTGTTAAGGAGCTTGTTCATGCATCCGTTAAGTGGATGATGGTGGATATCAAATGCTTCTGGTGTTTGTAGGAAATGCACACAAAAATATTTTTGGCGATGGGACATCACTGTAGGTAACTGACCTTCAAATGTCTTGGAAAACCCTTTTTTTTTTTTTGCAACGTTTCTGTAAGTTTGAGATTGTTTCAAAATAAAAAAAGTATTTTTAAAACTACCTGCTTTAATTTCAAAACGTGAGGGTGGAGAAGAAATGTTGGGTGCTCAGCAGCCACAGAAAATAAAGAGGTTGGTTAACTGATAGCCCATAATGTAGTCTAACTGTGGTGGTGAGGGCGGGGGCGGGGGGGTGGTTCTATCTATCCTTTAGCTGGTTGCATTAAAACCAAACCTGTTGCCATCAAGTGGATTCTGACTAACAGCAACCCTATAGGACAGAGTAGAACTTCCCCACGGGGTTTCCAAGGTGTGGCTGGTGGATTTGAACTGCTGACCTTTTGGTTAGCAGCAGAACTCTTAACCGCTATGCCACCAGGGCCCCACCAGTTGCATTCGGCCTGGCTAATTTTTGTAAGATTTCCATTTAACATGAATTTGTATGGAATAGCTACAGCAAAGCAATAACACTGATTTTGAGAAGGAAAAGGTCATTACTGTTTATCACAATAAATGAGAAATAGTTGAAGACATCAATTTATTTGAACAACAGTGCTTGTTTTTTGAGTTATATTTGTTAGCAGGGACCATTCATCAGTAGCCAGTGGAAAGAATCAGACAACTTTTGGAACATGTCTTTAAAAGCCCTTCAGCTCATCATGCTTGCTTTTGCCAGTCTGGTAACCAGTAAGTGTCAAAGGCTGATTTTCTGCAGGCAGACTTTCAAATATCTTCAGGTGAATATAAGTATTATCACCTATTTTTACCTGAAAAGATAAAATTAAATAACTAAATAAGGAGATTCATTTGCATGGATCTACATCAAGTGGAAGATCTACAGGCCTATAAAGACTTTGCTGCAATAAGCTTTTCTTGAACAGCACTCTTAGACCCTTTGCTTCCATAAACCCACCACATTTATTTTATGAGTGAAAGGGCAGGCTAAAGGCATGGCTTGGTGGGGCAACGGTTAAGCGCTCGACTGCTAACTAAAAGGTCAGTGGTTCGAACCCACACAGCAGCTTCGTGGGAGAAAGACCCGCCGATATGCTTCCATAAAGATTACAGCCAAGAAAACCCTATGGGGCAGTTCTACTCTGTCACATGGGGTCACTATGAGTCAAAGGTGACTTGACAGCACACAAGAACAACAAGAAAGGCATAGCAAGAGGCATGGGTCCTAGCTTTATTTTATTCTTTTTTTTTTTTTTCCTATAATCCAGACACAAGTGAAAGTCCAGAGTGGCATTTTATTTTTAACAACGCACAGAGCAAGAAAACAAGTGACAGCCTATATGTTTGGTGAGTCTATTTTCTGACTCCCAAATTGAGACTGTTTGCCATGTAGGTTCTTAAGGGTGAAAAAAATAAACATTGTTCTAGAATATTTGGGATCTGTGGTTCCCATTATGTATATTAAAAAACAACAACAACAGAAACAAGTTGCCATCAAGTTAACTCCGACTCCTGGTGACCCCCTGTGTGTTAGAGTAGAACTGAGCTCCGGAGGGTTTTCATTGGCTGAATTTTCAGAAGTAGATCACCAGGCCTTTCTTCCAAGGCACCTCTGGGTGGACTCAAACCTCCAGTTTTCTGGTTAGTAGTCAAGTGCTTAACTGTTTGCGTCACCCAGGGACCCATAGAACCTACTTTATAAATTCTCAGGGACAGGACTGAACAGGCATAGGGGGAGGACAGCTTCCCTTCTAAAGGTAAATGGTCTTCCTGGGAAGTCATTGGTAAAAAGGTTGAAATGATAGTTTGGGGATGAATCTGAGACCTGGAAAATCACAGTAAGAATTTCCCCTTTGGTTTTTGGTTGAAATAGTGAAAGTTTTATCTTATGATAATATTTACCGTGTTCTGAAGTCCTTTCCTACCTTAATTTTAACAAATGCCATTTATCAAATGTTTACTATGAGCCAGACACTCTGATGAGCATTCTATATACATTATCATATTTACTTCTCAGTTAGAGGCCTGAAGAAAGATGGAACAATGCCAATTTTGCAGATGAGGAAATAGATTAAGAGAGATTAAGTAATTTTCCATAAATCTCTCACCTAAAAAGTAAAAGAAACTGACAGATGGATAGTGAATGCCTACTATGATACCTCCCGAGTGGTAGTCTCTCAAATTTGGCAGATGACGATATATGTATACCATCCTTGTTTTCTTGTGAATTTATACAGACTTATTGATACAGCTTAATTTCCAGAAATTGTATAGAAAATGATTTCATAACAGTTCAGGACATGTTTGGTTTGTGGCCCTGGCTGCCTCATGTGTGAGATCAAAAAATAAAAACCAAACCCATTGCTGTCGAGTTGATTCCAACTCATAGCAACCCTGTAGGACAGAGTAGAACTGCCCTATAGGGTTTCCAAGGAGCACCTGGTGGATTCAAACTGCTGACCTTTTAGTTAGCAGCCATAGCACTTAACCACTATGCCACCAGGGCTCCCATGTGTGAGGTGGGAGGATAATATCTCAGCTGGACCAGATGGTATCTTGAAGCTTATTCCACCTCAAAACTTTGTGATTCTGTATGTCTGAATTAAATGGATTTAGGGAATGGCTTGAGTCATTCATTACCTGGGAAAATAATTTAAACTACTTTGCCCTTTAAATAAGGATTTTTTAAAGATCATTTATGTATTTGACAAGTTACTCAGTGTTGCTATGATACTGGAAGCTATGGCACCAGTACTGAAATACCAGCAGGATCACCCGTGGTAGACAAGTTTCAGTGGAGCTTCCAGAATAACGCAGACTAGGAAGAAAGACCTAGTGATCTACTTCCAAAAATCAGCCAATGAAAGCCCTATGGATCACAATGGAGCATTGTCCAGTGTAGAGCTGGAAGATGAGCCCTCTAGGCTGGGAGGATCATGAAGATGGCGCAGAGCCGGGCTATGTTTGTTTTTGTTATACATAAGATTACCATGAGTCAAAGCCTACTCAACAGCAACTGTCAATAACAGCCACACTTGGGGCTACCATTACTAGGCATCTTGATTTAAGACAACCAGCAGGAACAAATTATATGGTAGGGGAAATAGGGCATATTACATAAAATCAGAAATATCTTTTAGAACCAAATGGAACTCTAACCTTAATGAAGTAATTTAGTCCAGCAACCACTTGACTTTTATACTCTACAGCTTCAAATTCTTCATAAGTCCTATTGGTTTGTTCTTCAAGCTGTGGCTTAACCTTAAGAAAAGAGGAAACAAATTATCAAAGCTATATTGGACTTTGTTTCTGTGATTTACAATTCTGGGAACCTTGTACTCTTAAACGTCCTCCAAGATGGTAATGCAATCTCTGAGTTATTTTCAGTATTTGAAGAAACCATCAAATCTTTAATAAGATTGAGTGGGATAACTAAAATGTTAAATTTTGTTGCTTTAGGCTGAATTTATATCAACTCAGTAATGCAATACGGTAACATTTGACTGGTAAAGCTCTAAAAGTTATATATGTCTTTGGTTAATAAAAAATGGAAAAGCAATCATTACTACTTAATTAAAAAAATTTTTATTTTCAAATAATCTCATACATAACAAAGTTGCAAAAATAGTATACTGAATTCCCTTACACTATTCACACAGTTTCCCTTGATGTTAACATCTTACATAACCATAGTACAACTATCAAACCAGGAAATTATCATCGTATAATACTATTAAGTCATCTATAGATCTTATTTGAATTCTGTCAAATGTCCCCGTTCTGGTCCAGGATCCCATCCAGAATCCTCTTGTTGTTGTTAGGTGACATCTTGTTGATTTGGACTCCTCATGACCCCATGTGACAGAGTAGAACTGACTCCTAGGGTTTTCTTGGCTGCAATCTTTATGGAACATTACATTTAATTGTTATGTCTCCTTAGTCTCCTCTGATCTGGGTCAATTCCTCAGTCTTCCTTTGCCATTCATGACCTTGGCTCTTTTAAAGAGTAACCCGTTGCCATGCAGTCGATTCCAACTTAATGTTGCTGTTAGGTGCCGTCAAGTCGGTTCCGACTCATAGAGACCTTACGTATATCCGAATGAAACACTGCCTGGTCCTGTGCATCCTCACAATCATTGTTATGCTTGAGCCCATTGTTGCAGCCACCTTGTCAATCCATCTCGTTGAAGGCCTTCTTCTTTTTCGCTGACTCTCCACCTTAGCAAGCATGATGTCCTTCTCCAGGGAATGGTCCCTCCTGATAGCCTGTCCAAAGTACATGAGACTAAGTCTCACCATCCTTGCTTCTAAGGAGCATTCTGGCTGTACTTCTTCCAAGACAGATTTGTTTGTTCTTCTGGCAATCCATGGTATATTCAATATTCTTTGCCAACTCCATAATTCAAAGACATCATTTCTTCTTTGGTCATCCTTATTCATTGTCCAGCTTTCACATGCATATGAGGCAACTGAACATAACATGGCTTGGGTCAGGTGCATCTTAGTCCCCAAAGTGACATCTTTGCTTTTCAACACTTCAACGAGGTCTTTTGCAGCCAATCTGCCCCATGCAATATGTTGTTTGATTTCGTCACTGCAGCTTCCATGGGTATTAATTTGTGGTTCCAAGAAAAATGCAATCCTTGACAACTTCAATATTTTCTCCATTTATCATGATATTGCTTATTGGTCCAGTTGTGAGGAGTTTTGTTTTTTTGTATTGAGGGTAATCCATACCGAAGGCTGTAGTCCTTGATCTTCACCAGTAAGTGCTTCAAGCCCTCTTCACTTTCAGCAAGAGTGGTTAATTAATTTGTAGAATGTCCCTCAATTTGGGTTTGTTGGATCTTTTCTTACGATAGATTGAGGATATACGTATTTTGTAAGAATACCACAAAAGCGACGCTACGCTCTTAGTGCATAGCTCCAAGTCTCAGTGCCAGTGACGTTCATTTTGATCACTCAGTTAAGGTGGTATCTGCAAGTTCCTCCACTGTGAAGTTACTATTTTTCGCTTGTGGGGAGCTACTTTGAGGCTATGCAACTATCTTGTCTCTCTTCATACTTTCATCCATTAGTCATCAAGCATCCATTAATGATTCTCTCCCACAACAGTTATTACAGTGGTGTTTACCAAACGGTAATTTTCTATTTCTATCATTCCTTCTACATTTATTAATTGAGATTCTACTTTAACAAAGAGCTTTACTTTCTCCCCTATTTATTTATTTTTTCAATTATTTCTTTATACTAGTATGACTTATGGACATTTCTTGTATTTGGGGGGTTTATACTCCATTACTATTTCTTTTGTTGCTCAAATTGCCCTAGATTTGGCTATCGGGAGTTCCTTCCAGCTGGCTCTCCTGTCCTCTCAACAAGCTACAGTCATTTTATGAGCATTTTCTTACTTTTTGACACTACAGTATGTTCCAGGCTCATTTTGAATTTCCCCTGCCTCAGCCCTGTTGTTGTTGCTAGGTGCCATTGAGTTGATTCTGACTCATAGTGACCCCGTGTACAACAGAACGAAACACTGCCCTGTCCTGTGCCATCCTCACAGTCATTGCTAAGTTTGAGCCCATGGTTGCAGCCACTGTGTCAGTCCATCTCATTGAGGGTCCTCCTCTTTTTTGCTGATCCTCTACTTTATCAAGCATGATCTGAGTAAAATGAAATCCTTGACAACGTCAATCTTTTCTCCATTTATCATGATGTTGCTTGTTGGTCCAGTTGTGAGGATTTTTGTTTTCTTTACTGAGGTGTAACCCATACTGAAAGCTGTAGTCTTTGATCTTCGTTTGTAAGTGCTTCAAGTCCTCTTCACTTTCAGCAAGCAAGGTTGTGTCATCTGCATATCACAGGTTGTTAAATGAGTCTTCCACCAACCCTGATGTCACACACTTTTTCATATAGTCCAGCTTCTTGGATTATTTGCTCAGCATAAGATTGAATAAGACAGGAAAGAAATAAAAGACCAAAATGGATGTCAGAAAACTCTGAAACTTGCTCTTGAACGTAGAATAGCTAAAGCAAATGGAAGAAAGCCTTAGCCCTAGAATCAGCCATTTCTTCAAGGACCCCTTGTTCTTTTATTGGAGAATGGTATTGAGATTCCAAGATTTGGGCACTGTGTATGCTTCTTGTTACTGAGTGTCATTGCTTCTTGGTCTTCTCAGTGAGAAGAGCTACAGAATATATGTATGTATATACTAACACATACACATACTCGTATCTATTCTAATCATCTTTCCCTGTGTATATATATATATATGTGTGTGTGTGTGTGTGTATGAGTTTTTATTCATATATATATATATATATATTCATACTGATACCTCGCATTCAAATCCAGCACCACAGGATTCATCTAGTTTTACCCCTTTCCTAATTTGTAACCCCTTTTCCAACAGTGAGAAGCCTGGCTCTCATTATTCACAATGCATTTATTTGTTCAGGAATTCTTGAGTAGTGTAAATGGTTGATGTGCTTGGCAGCTAATTGAAAGGCTGGAGGTTTGAGTCCACCCAGAGGTACCTTGGAAGAAAGTCCTGGTAATGTACTCTTGCAAAATTGTTGTTGGGTGCCGTTGAGTCAGTTCCAACTCATAGCAATCCTATGTACAACAGAATGAAACACTGCTCAGTCCTGCACCATCCTCACAATTATGTTTGAGCCCGTTGTTGCAGCAACTGTGTCAATCCATCTTGTCAAGGGTCTTCCTCTTTTTCACTGACTCTACTTTACCAAGCATGATTTCCTTCTCCAGGGATTGGTCCCTCCTGATAACATGTCCAAAGTATGTGAGACGAAGTCTCACCATCCTTGCTTCTAAGGAGCATTCTGGCTGTACTTCTTCCAAGACAGATTTGTTCGTTCTTTTGGCAGTCCATGGCATATTCAATAATTCTTCGCCAACACTATAATTCAAAGGTATCAATTCTTCTTCGGTCTTCCTTATTCATTGTCCAGCTTTCACATGCATATGAGGCGACTGAAAACACCTTGGCTTGGGTCAGGCACACCTTAGTCCTGAAAAATTAACCACTGGAAAAAACCCTGTGGAGCACAGTTTTCCTCTGATATGCATGAGGTCGCCATGGGTTGGAATCGACTCAGCGGCAACTGGAACTGAAATAGCTTCAGAACTGCTAACTCATACTCCTATGAAAAGTAAATATTAGTAACTAGAGTACACTGTTTATGTACCATTCTTTTTGTCTTTAATCTTACCGTGTATATAGTCAAGATACTGTATTTCAAAGTTACTTAGGTTAGTTATTTTCTTTCCCACCTTTCAATGTGCTGATGTTATTCATCTGTAATACTTTTCGTTCATTATGGCTCATTTGTTGCATTTTGTATTTCCTTTTGGTTTCCCCTACATTCTGATTGATTTTAATTATTTATTTTTTGGGTATGTGAAGCGACCATGGCTCTAAGAGTCAGAAGTATCCAAAAAGGTATATTCAGAGATATGTCACTGCCCTTCACCCCTTCTACCCAGTTCCCACCCACCCTCTGCAGGTAACCAGTTTCACTAGTTTCTGGCTTAGGCTTCCTGTATTTTTCTTTCTTCCTTTCTTTTTTTAAAAAATAATATTTTATTGAGATTTTGGTGAAAGTTTACACAACAAGTTAGGTGCTCATTTGACAATTGCTGTACAAATTGTTTAGTGACATTAGTTATATTTATCACAATGTGTCAGCATTCTCTTTAGTTGTGTTCTGTTTGTTCAATTTCCAGTACTCTAGTTTCCCTGCCCCCTTATCTTCCTTCTCATCTTTACTTTTGAGGAATTGTTGACATTTTGGTCTCATACAGATGGTTTTTAAGTAGAGCACTGATCTTACAGGTAATATCCTTTATTTTGTGTGCCACTCTGCTATTTCACTAAAAGGTGATCTCAGGATATGTTTGGTTCTAGGTTTAAAGAATGTCTTAGGGTAAAAGTCTCAGGGAGTCTTCTGTTCTCTACTGTTCCAGTTTGTCTGGCTTTTTTTTTTTTAATAAGAATTTGAGTTCGCCATATTTTTATCCCATTCTATCTGGGACCATCTATTGTGACCCTTGTCAGAATGGGCAGTAGTGGTAGCTGGGCACCATCTAGTTCTTATGGTCTCAGGGTAGATGAGGTCGTGGCTGTTGTAGACTTGTCTCTTCTCTGAGCTTTTGATTACCTTCTTACTGTTTTGCTTCCGGTGAGTAGAGACCAGTAGTTGCATCTTAGATGGCTGCTCAGAAGCTTTTAAGACCACAG